CTGCTTTCACTGTATTTGATGTTGGTATAATTTGTGGAGGGGAAGGGTAAAAACAAATCGTTTAAATAGGGATACAGGTGGACCCATTGCAACAATGAGATGTACAAGTCGTTATGTTGAAAAATGAACTTTACATCTTTGGTGGGGGAGGGAGGATTGGGTGGGGGGCCAGGAGAGGATGGGAAGGGGAAACAAAGGAGGAGTCTACAATGCTTGATAAAAAATGTACTAATTATCTTGCCCATGTAATTGTAACCCCTCTATACAGTATTTTCACAAAAAAATAAAAAAAAGATAAAAGACAGCAGACATCTGGTCAATCAGCTTTATTTTTAATTACTCAAGTGTTTATTGACCTTTGTATTGAGACATCATGTGAGATTCAGAAGAAAAGCAAGACAGCAGTTTCCCACTCTCAAAACAACTAAAATCAGATACACTATGCAGACTACAAGACATAAGGACATATACTGAATAACATTTGAGCACAGGAAAGCCTTAGTATGGTGTGAAGCCACAAAGAGACACATCAGTGACTGTGGTAGGGGTGGAGAAAAGCAGTTGAGGACTGCATCCAGGAAGGAGGAAAAAGCACTGAACTTGTGTTTTACCCACCCATATGCCAGTGTTTTATTGTGTACTTTGGGTGTTGAATTTCTTCAGTCTACTCAACTGTAAAATAAAGAGCTCCAGTGGCTCACATCTATACTCCTAGGTACTCCAAGGAGGTTGAGGTCTGAGGATCATGATTCAAAACCAGCCTGGGTAGAGAAGTCCATGAGACTCATCTCCAATTAACCACCAGAAAACCAGAAGTAGAACTGTGATTCAAAGTGGTAGAGCACTAGAAACAGCTCAGGGACAGCACCTAGTCCCTGATTTCAAGCCTCACTACCAACCAAAAAATATAAAAATAAAAGGTGAGATCTAGATGATGTCTAAGGTCTTCTGGCTATAACAATACAAAGCTCTACAGTCAAGTGTAGCAAAATCAGGGAGGTGAAGATATTGTATGTAGGAGTAAAGGACAAGCACAAGGCCACAGACATGTGAAAAAAGTCATGTGTGCAGCAAGGAGGGGACAAGATTCTGAGGGCAGTGAACTTGGGAATGGCAAGGCAGGTAAGGGATGCTAACCAGGTACCAGCATGAAGAAGGAGATACTGTATCTCTTGTGTTCTGACCTATCCCCATGATTCCCCGACTTTACTCTGCATGCTTTATGACTTCAATGAATTTTATTGTAATCCTTTTCCCAGGCCCAAATCCCAAGTAGAGTACAAGAAGGTTATGGTTTCACATGGGTCTCCTTAGATGCGCAGAAGCAGCCCCTTTTTGTAGACCAGGAAGCCCAGAGCTGCTGCTGAAAAAATGGTGGAGAATCCGATCAGCCTTAGCAGGCCTGGCACAGAAGGCAAATGTCTCTCCAGGAAGGTAGTGGTGATAGGCAGTGCAGGGACATCCTAGGTTCAGAGAACATTTATGTTAACATAGGATTTATGAGGATTATTCCAGAAAGTCTGTATTTCCCCTACTTCCCTTACAGAGACCCATTCTCCCCAACCTCTAGGCTATTAAACCTGACATTCCTTCAGTGAAATTGCTCTCCCCTCTTTTCCACTGGGTCCTTTACTTCATCTCAGCCATTTTGCAACCCCCCTTAGTTTGAGATGGCCCCTTAGTTTTACATTGTCCTTTGGTATGTTGTCTCTATTACACTTGAACTTTGGCGGGGGAGGGGGATGGGGGTATGTATCTTCCCCCACCTGTCCTGGAGCCCCAAGAGTGTGTTTCTGACTACAAAGCCAATTGTGGGCACACATCTGTCACAAATATTTGTTGAGAAAATAAATGAAGGTTTTTCCCCAGCCCATAGCTCCATCTCTAGCAGAAGGTGGAGGAGGATGATTTTAGAGTGTCAGGGCTAGTCTCTGGCTGGTGTTCTAACACTTGAGCCACACCTCACTTCTGCTTTTTTGCTGGTTAAGTGTCTCACAGATTTAAGCTAGATTTGAATAAGGAGCCTCAGATCTCAGTCTTCTGAGTAGCTAGTATTACAAGCATAAGCCAACCATGTGTGTCACTTTGATGTTTTAGACTCTTGTCTGCTACAGCAGTTTTTCACTCTGTCTGCTGTGTACCTTTCCTTTTAGCCAGGGGAAATTTCCTGGGCTTTTATTACAAACATGATAAGCATATTGAGAATGGATTTTTAATCTAAATAAGTCCCAAGATTTATTCCATCCCTTTGCCTCACACAGGAGATAATGTAGTTTTCTTTTTCCCTCTAACTACTATTGAGATTCATCAAGTCAGATATTTATTCAACAGACATTCATTGAATATTTTAGGTGTGTGTGTGTGTTACTGAGGATGGGACCCAGGACATCAGACATGTTAAGACTCGGGCATGTTAAGAGAGCACTCTACCACTGAGCAACACCTTCAGACTCTACTGAGTTCAACCAAACCTCTCACCCCTGCCTTCACTCATAGCACCCATTTAAATAGTCATGGGTCAAATCACTTAAGGAAAGGGATGTGGAATTGATACAAATGTATCCTTGCAAAACACTGATTTTGAGGAAAGATGTCTACATTTAAGAAATGTAACCTACCACAGACTCTGGTTCTAGCTGCCAGATTTCATCTTCTGGAATCTTTCCCATGGCATGCAAGATCTGAAACAAAAGAGTATACCTCAGTGAGAAGCAACACAGGTCCTATCTTCTAATTTACTCTTTAAAGAAGGGAGTAAGTGACTGTCTCTTGGGATAACCATCAAAAATAACAAGGTAAAGACCAAGAGTCTACTTGACCTTTAAAAGACTCAAAAAGGTCTTTTAGCTATGGTACAAGAGGTTCTGACTATTGACCTCACTGTAAAGTTTGGAAAACGTGAACATGACTTAATAGGACAGGAGAACAGAGGGATTTCCAAGAGAGATAATCAATTCTGAGTCCTAATGTAAACATGTTTGATCATACAATACAGACCCAAGCTATCTCTCAAGTATAATTTCATGTACTCTTTTATTTTAACCTTAGGTGATACGTCAGATCTTTTTTTTCATTATTGCTGTTGGGTTAAAATGTTCCCTTCACCTCTAAATGCCATTATAATGGTGTCTCCTGGGTCTTTAGCTGAGGGTCCTGGGGAATTGTCATCCAGGATCTCAGATACTGTTAATCTGTTCAGGACCATGAGTAGTATTCTTCCCCAGAGCCCCTAATCTTGGGCCCTACCTCTCGAGCAGCCCTCTCTCCAGCCTCCACAGCTCCCTCCATGTAGCCACTCCAGTGTGTGGCAGTCTCAGTGCCCGCGAAGAAAATCTTGCCCACTGGCTGGCGCAGAACCCTAGGGACAAAAAGCAAAGTCATGCAGCTAGCAACCTGTCCCAAAAGATCCATGGCTAGTCAGTTCCTTCAAGTTCAAAACTTTATGGAGAACTCTGTCAACTGTGGAATAATGATTCACAGAGCTGGCTCCTCCAGCTCGTGTGTGATTTTTGTTTTCCAATAAAAGTGGTAATGTGAATTTAACCAAAGATCATATATTGCTAAATTTTTGCTTTATACTATGATCTGATTGGATATACATTCATATAAAATCATACATTCATGTCTTATACTTTATAAATGGAAATGGATCATTACCAAGTAGCATTTTGAATAGCTATTATAAACCCAAATATCATATGAAATTGTTGCTAACATTAATTCTTCTCTAGCCCTATTCTGTATAAACTAAAAGATGACTAAAATGACAATTAGTTGCATTGCATTTGAAAAAGGACAATCGGCAAAGTTACAGTTCTTTTCGGTTCTAATCAAAAACCAAGTAAAATTAGCCCAACAAAAGCTACAGTCCATTCCAGCCCCAATACTTCATAGATAAAGGACCTGACATTGATGGATTCCAATTATGTATTTGTTTCATCTGAATGAAGTATCAGCTCTGGACATGCTAAGATGTGTGCCCAATTCCCATCTATTTATTCTACTATTCAAATTGTATTTATTCACTTTTCATTGAGCTCTGTTCCCCCCACCTCTCTCTCTCTCTCTCTCTCTCTTTTGTCGGTCATGGGTCTTGAACTCTGGGCCTGAATACTATCCCTGAGCTCTTCAGCTCAAGGCTAGCACTCTACCACCTGAGCCACAGTGCCACTTCCTGTTTTCTGGTGCTTGATTGGAGACAAGAGTCTCACAGACTTTACTGCCTGGACTGGCTTTGAACCGTGATCCTCAGATATCAGCCTTCTGAGTAGCTAGGAGTACAGGCATGAGCCACGAGCACCCAGTTCCCTAATTTCTTAAAGAGGGTGATCTAATAATGATTTCTAAGATTGTTTCCATCTATAACATTTTAAGTTATATTTTTATTATCTTTATACTGTACAAAAAGTTGCCATTCAACAAAGCAGTGTATGAATACAAGGCATCTTGATCAATGGCACCCCGTTTTTGTTCTCCCCAATTCCTCTCAACCTTACCCCTGCTCTCAATTTTCTTAATTTTGTAGTTATGCATTGAGTTTTATGACTGTATTCTTCCCCATTTTTCTACTCCTCACCCCTTGACTCCATACACACCCTATCTTTTGAGCATTCATTTCCTGGTAGTCATTTTTGTTGGACTGTGAGTTAGCCTAAGGATTTACACAGTTTAAATTCGCCACTGAAATGATCATAACTTTTTTTGAAGCAGAGTCTCACTATATAACCCAGGCTGGCCTCAAACTCACAATCTACCTGTCCCAGCCTTCTAAATGCTGGGATTATAGACATGCAACATTACATTTGGCTCTTTATCAGTAATATTGAACAAATTCATGAGTCTTATGGCTTTTTGCCAATAAGTACCCTAAGATTGAGTTTCACTGTATCAAATTGTAACAGTGTCCATTTTTGGGGTGCCAATTATTCATCAAGGTACCTTCATCTTCACCACACCAATTTTGCTCACCATGTTGCTGATAAGACTGTGTGGATATTGTGGACACTGTGATGCACCATCCAGGCCTCTTTAATAATGAAAGACTTATTCCAGGTGCTAGGAAGGTCACTGGAAGATGGCCTTTTGATGTTGGCTCTCTTTACTTTTGCCAATCCTGGGGCTTGAACTCACGGCCTCCTTGGCACCGTCCCTAAGGTTCTTTTGCTCAATGCTAGCACTCTACCACGTGAGCCACAGCACAACGTCTGGCTTTTTTTGCTTATGTGGTACTGAGGAATAGAACTCAGGGCTTCATGCATGGTAAACAAGCACTCTACCACTAAGCCACCTCCCCATCCTGTTGACCCTCTTTGAAGACTGCCCCTCACTGCAGCTAACAACCTCACCAAGATCATACTTCTCTCCCAAGAGCAGGCACCTTCAGTGATAGATCATCATGGATCTATAAAGACCTGACCCCCTAAGCCTTATTTTAAGACCACTCTTTTTTTGCCAGTCCTGGGACTTGAACTCAGGAGCTGACCTTCTTTTGCTCAATGCTAGCACTCTACCACTTGAGCCACAGCGCCACTTCCAGCCTTTTCTGCTTATGTAGTATTGAAGAATCGAACCCAGGGCTTCATGCATCCTAGGCAAGCACTCTACCATATAAGCCACATTCTCAGCCTTTGAGACCACTCTTGAGACCACCATTCTAGTTCCAGGGCTCCTTAGGGAGCCAGATTCAGCCTTTACTGAGACTCTATCACCCTCTTAACGTTTACCTCTGAGCATTCTAACTTCCTTTCCCTCCCTTTCCAAGCTGTTCATCTCAAGGATGATATATCATTTCAGATTCTGCTTACAGGAACCAAATCAGCACCAACGACAATCCTGTTTGCTCCCAGTACAGAGTGCTGTACTTGACATGAAAGTGTCCAACATAGTCCTTGGTAAACAGTTGGCACTAAGCATCTGGGTAAAACAGTGATTGATGTACTCCACATTCAGCATATCTAACACTTGGCAATAGCCCATTAGCTTATCAGGTAGTACACTTTGGCCCCAGAACGTTCTCTTGGATGGTATTTTGCCATCTGCAGTAAGATAAGGAACGTGTTGAGCAAATCCATTATACTTCTTCTGAAAATCAGGTTTTAATGTTTCATCTGGTTTTTTTTGAGAGATGGATGACCACTCCCATTTACACACCCCATTTGCAGTGTACTCCCAAGCTCCTCTCACTCACTGTATATTTCCTGTTTTGTTGATATGGAGTTCTTGGCATTAAATTATTGCTTTGTGGATCACTTTGAATACCTCGGATCATTAACTCAGGCTTGCGATTGTCATGTAATACAATGAACTGGACATTAGTGACTTGCCCTTTGAGGGGGCTATTTGTATAGTATATAATTATACCTCAATTAAGTAGTTAAAAAGTAACACTTGTTCTGACCCTATGTACTTATCATTGCCCACTGTATAGATCTTGTGTTTTCTCATCAGTATGTTAAGGAAAATGAGCTTGTCTACCATGGCAAATTTGGTTGTGGCAGTCAGAATGGAACCTAAGTCTTCTTACAGCCTGGCTAGAATTTTTCTTGCTTTCCCAATGTTATGCCCATACTGGTGTGCCCAGGGCAGCAATGTCTAAGGACATTCTTCTAACAATGGAAGTAACCCCTTTGGTGTCTAAATTGCTCTTCTTAAGCAACCTTTATTGGTTTTAAGGATTGGGGTTCCTTCCTGCAGAGGGATGATGAATGAGAAGCAGTACCAGGGAGCAGATTTATAATAACTCCATTCTCAAGAGTCCTGAAAATCCTGAAAAGCCATAGTGAAATTTGAGATCTCTCTCTCCTCTCTCTCTCTCTCTCTTTGTTTTCCTCCTCCTCTTCTTCTACCTCCTCCTCATCCTCCTCCTTCTTCTTCTCCTCCTCCTCCTCCTTCCTTCCTTCCCCCTTTCTCTCTCTCTCTCTCTTTCTCTCTCTCTTTCTTTCTTTCCTTTCTTCTTTCTTTCCTTTTCTTTTACCATAAACCAGAGAGAAAAGCCAAATCACAAGAACCTATTGAGGGTTTGGATTTTGGATCAAAGTATACATTTACTCTACCTTCCATACTGTGTCATGATCCCAGGTGGGAAATACGTGGTGTAGCAGCCCCCAGAATACTGTTCCTCACACCAGTTCTTCTCCTCATAATGCACTGGCTGCAAAACAAAGGGACAAAAGTCTAAGGGAGAGGCAAAGAAAGATTCCTAGTGAAGAATAAATCATAGTCCAGTATATTTTATAGACTGAGCAGTAAAGTCAGAAAGATTTCACCTAAAATAACCAGCAAAAAGCAGAGCTAGAGGCATGGCTCAAGGAGTAGAATACCAGCTGTGAGCCCTAAACCTCAGTACTTCCCCATTGACTTTAGTATGTATTTCATATAGTGTCATGAACTTTTGCCTAGGCAAGTCTCAGATCCTTATCCTACCTCCAAGGATCTGGGATCTGGGATTATAGGTATGACCCACCACATTCAGCTTGTTGGTTTTTTCCCTCCAGGCTACTGTCAAAAGTTCTAAGAAACTCTGCTGGTTGCTGGACATTATCAACTAGTCTTCCTTTGATCCCTAAGTTTCAAGGAAAGACAAGGCAGAGAAGGGGTTATCCAGGAGGGGAAGATCAGGTCATTCCTGTTTTTACCAGCCGTGGATGGATTGAGTGGTATTTTATGTACAAAAATGAGACATTTATCTTTGATGTGTCTGTGCACACAGTGGTCCTAGGGCTTGAACTCAGGGCATGGACGCTGTCTCTGAGTTTCTTTTGCTCAAAGCTACCACTTACCACTAGACCTACAACTTTACTTCCAACTTTTGGGGGAAGTTAATTGGAGACAATAGTCTCACAGATTTTCCTGCCAAGACTGGTTTCGAACCATAATCCTCAGATCTCAGCTTTCTTCCCAGTAGCTAGGATTACAGCCATGAGGCACCAGTGCCCACCTGAGATTCTCATCTTGGATGCTAGGATCTAGGAATCTCCCATGGATAGCATATGCACCCTCTTTTTTACTCCTTGACAGAACTAGAGGCAGAGTGTCTCAATGTCCAGCTCCAAGTAGAGCTCTGAAATCAAGGGCCAGAGTAGCACCACAGCATGGTACAATGTGACTGACCTGCCCTGGCTCCAGAATAACCAGTGCCTGCCCTGTCAGCAGATGCTATGAGTCTAGCAGCAAAAACCTGAGCATAAGGCCCTGTGTGCACAAACATACCTGTTCCCACCATACCTTCAGGCAACACAAGATCTATCTTCCCACCCAGGAAAAAGTCAAGAAGTGCCTTACCTGCAGAGCTTCTTCTGAGCCTAGAACTTTGGCATAGAGCTCACAAAGCTTCTTTAACCTAGGGGAAAAAAATGAGAAGATTGGAGATGATGGAAAGAAAGGAAAGAAAGAAAAAGTGAAATGTGAAATATACCTATTCCCTTCCAACTCTACTACAAAGTCATAGTAATCAAAACAGCTTGGTACTGGCATAAGAACAGATGTGCAGACCAATAAAATAGAACTGAAGGCCCAGAAATGAAGCCACAGACCTATAGCTACCTGATCTTGGATAAGGGAGCTAAAAACATAGAATGGAAGAAAAGAAGCCTCTTCATTAAATGGTGCTTTCAACATTGGATAAATACCTGTAGAAAACTAAAGCTAGATCCTTATATATCACTCTACACCAGAATTAATAAATGGGCTAAAGACTTAATGAGAGACTTCTCTGAAGAGGAAATAAGAATCACCAATAGACACATGAAGAAATGCTCAACCTCTCTAGCCATAAAAGAAATGCAAATCAAAACAACATTGAGATTCCACCTCACCCCAGTTAGAATGGCTAGAACCAATAAATCTAACAACAACAGATGCTGGAGGGGATGTGGCCAAAAGGGAACCCTACTGCATTGTTGGTGGGAGTGTAAACTTGTTCAACCACTCTGGAAAGCAGTATGGAGGTTCCTCAAAAGACTCAACATAGGGGCTGGGAAGGTGATCAGTTATAGAGCGCTTGCCTTGCATGCATGAGGCCCTGAGTTCGATTCCTCAGCACCACATAAGCAGAAAAAAAAGCCGGAAGTGGTGCTGTGGCTCAAGTGGTAGAGTGCTAGCCTTGAGCTGAAGAGCTGAGGGACAGCGCCCAGGCCCAGAGTTCAGGCCCACGACCGGACCCCCCCCAAAAAAAAGACTCAACATAGAGGTCTGCTATGACCAAGCAATCCCACTTTGGGGCATTTACCCAAATGATCACAAAGAAGGCCATGCTAAAGCTACCAGAACAACTATGTTTATCAAAGCATTATTCACCATAGCTAAGATATGGAACCAACCCAGATGCCCCTCAGTAAATGAATGGATCAAGAAAATGTGATATGTGTGTGTGTGTGTGTGTGTACATATATACACATATATGTATATACCTATATATACCTATATATATATACATATATATACATATATATATACCTATATATACCTATATATACATATATATACATATATACATATATATGTATATACCTATATATACATATATATACATATATATATACATATATATATGTATATATATATACCTATATATACATATATATATATAGGTATATACATATATATACCTATATATATATATGCCTCCATCAGAAAGAATGACACCATCCCATTTGTTATGAAATGGAAAGACTTGGAAGAAATTATATTAAGTGAAGTTAAGCCAGACCCAAAGAAACATAGGTCCCATGGTTTCCCTTATTTGCAATAACTAGTATAAGTCTAGGACAGGAAGAAAAGGTAAAAAACTATATACATATGACCATATATATGATGATGCTAAGCGAATTGAACCCCAAGATAAGAACACAAAGGGTTTGTTGTTTTTAATGTACTTATAATGTAGTATGTGATTTTTTGGTTTCTTTTTTATGTTCTTCCCCCATGGTGTAACTCCTGTTTTTACTGTATTTGATTCCAGTGCCCTGCATCTTGTATATACATTTTTCTAATTTGGGGAGGGGAAGGGAAATAACAAAATTCTGAAATAAGGATACAGGTTGACCTATTGTACCAGTGAGATGTACAAGACATTACATTGAAAACGAACTTTACAATGTCAGGGGTGGGGGGAGGGAGGACTTGGGAAGGAGGGGAGGGAAGGAATGATGGGGGAAAACAAAGGAGGAGGTAACAATGCTCAATAGGAAATGAACTCATTACATTACTCATGAAACTGTAATACTTCTGTACAGTATCTTTACAATAATATAAATATATATATAAAGGAAGAAAGAAAGAAAAGAAAGAGAGAGAGAGAGGGAGGGAGAGAGGGAGGGAGGGAGGAAGGAAGGAAGGAAGGAAAGAAAAAAAGAAAGAAAGAAAGAAAGAAAGAAAGAAAGAAAGAATCAGCTGTGTTGATACAACCCTTCTGAATGATTCTCAGATTTGAGAAACTGTGATATAAATTTCCAAACCCAATAGTTGGACTAAAAAAATGAACAATAAATTTGTAGCTGTAAAGTCTATTTGGGGTATTAGATGATAACAATTATAGTCAAATAAGATGTGTCAATTAGCTGTAATCCTCGCTAATCAGGAGGCTGAGATCTGTGGATCATGGTTCAAAGCCAGCCCAGACAGGATATTCCATGAGACTCTTAACTCCACTTAACCAACAGAAAACCAGAAGTGGTGTTGTGGCTCAAGTGGTAGAGCACTCACCTTGAGCTGAAGAGGTCAGGGACAGAACCCAGGCTAGAGTTCAAGCCCCTCAACTGACCAAAAAAAAAAAGTCAATTACTCAATTAAGGTAAGATTAGACAACTCTATTTCAATAAATATACACTGTTATTTCAAGTCTCTTTTCATAGAATAGTAATACTAAAGGGAATATTGAATATCTATCTATCTATATATTAAAATATAATCTTACTGTTTTATTAAGATGTTATGCAGAGGGTTTACCATTTCACAATTCAGGTAATGTGTGCATTTCTTTTTTTGGACAAAGTTACCCCTTCTTTTGCTTTCCCCCAGATTCTTCCTGCCCACAAGTTTGAATATACACACACACACATATGTACAATAGTACAATATATATGTCTGTGTGTGTGTGTGTGTATATAGAGAGAGTATTACTGTTATTATTAGCATGCTTTAAATCCAGAAACTCAGGAACTCACTCTCCCCTGACCCCATGTATGTGTGTGTGTGTGCGTGCGTGCGTGCGTGTGTGTGTGTGTGTGTGTGTGTGTGTGTGTGTGTGTAATGTTAGTCCAGGGCTTGACCTCATGATCTTGGAATCTTGTTGACCTTGCTTGCTCAACTAGAGTTCTACTATTTGAGTCATGTCTCTAGTCCAGCATTTTACTGATTAATTACAGATGAAGTCTTACAAACTTTCTTTCTGGGATTGCTTTGAACTGAGACTCTCCAGATCTCAGAATTCTCAGAAGCTGGGAGTATAGGCATGAGCTACCACGTCCCAGCTGCAGGAACTCTTTCTATTAAAAAATATTTGAAATAACTGCCTAACAGGTACATGACCATGAGTTCAAACCTCAATACCATCAAAACATGCCTGATTTTTTCTTCTCCTGGCTATAACAACCCCTTTACATAAATGAAATAACTTGACATAGCAGAAGAACAATTAGGCAGAGTTGTGAAATAAAATTTAAATTTAGATATAGAAGCAAACACATAAGGAGATTTTGAATTCTCAAAATTGATCACTTTAAATTACATTCAACAAAAAGGTACTTCATAAAAGAACATATAATTTTTTAGTATAAAAAGCCCATTTGGGGATTGCATGAAGTTGCAGAGCTTCTGCATGGCAAAGGACATAGCTAGCAGATCAATAGAATGCCTACGGATTGGGAGAAAATCTTCCCTAGCCATACAACAGACAAGGGTCTCATATCTGAAATATACTTGGAACTCAAAAAATTAAATCCCCCAACAACAAATCCTCAAAGAAACAACTGCCCAATAAATAAGTGGGATAAAGACTTAAAGAGAAACTTCTCTGAAGAAGAAAGAAGGATGGCCAATAGACACATGAAGAAATGCTCAACCTCTGTAGCCATAAAAGAAATGCAAATCAAAACAACATTGAGATACCACCTCACTCCAGTTAGAATGGCAAAAATCAAGAACTCTAAGAACAACAGATGCTGGAACGGATGTGGACAGAAGAGAACCTTACTTCATTGTTGGTGGGAGTGTAAACTTGTTCAACCACTTTGGAAAGTAGCATGGAGGTTCCTCAAAAGACTCCACATAGAGCCAAATGTTTACAAATAAGACCACACTAAAGCTACCAGCACAACTATGTTTATTGCAGCATTATTTACCATAGCTAAGATATGGAACTAACCCAGATGCTCCTCAGTAGATGAATGGATCAAGAAAATGTGGCATATATACACAATGGAATTCTATGCCTCCATCAGAAGGAATGACATTGCCCCATTTGTTAGGAAATGGAAAGATTTGGACAAAATGCTATTAAGTGAAGTAAGCCAGGCCCAAAGAAACATAGGTCCCATGGTCTCCCTTATCTGCAATATCTAGTATGAGTCAAGCAGAAAAGGTCAGATAAGGTGATGTTAGGAAAATGAACCCTACCATATGTATTTAAATGTTTTTTTCTTTCATGAATGTGTTTCTAACACATTTATAAGATTATTTCTTTGTTGCTTTGTATGTCCCTCCCCCACAGTATAACCCCTGCTTTCACTGTATTTGATGTCGATATAATTTGTGGAGGGGAAGGAGGAAAACAAGTCGTTTAAATAAGGATACAGGTGGACCCATTGCAACAATGAGAAGTACAAGTTGTCATGTCGAAAACAAACTTTACAACTTTGGTGGTTGGGGGGGGGGAGGCTGGGAAGGGATGGGAAGGGTAAACAAAAGAGGAGGCTACAATGCTTGATAAGAAATGTACTCAATCTTGCCCATGTAATTGTAACCCCTCTGCACAGTATTTTCACAATAAAAAATTTAAAAAAAGATGGGAAATAAATGTAAATATTGGGAAAAAAAGAGCCCATTTGCTCTAGGCACTGGAGATCCAGCAATGGACCAAGCATTTGAGGACCAAGCATTCCTAACCTTTGTGATTTTTTTTATCTTAGCAAAACATCTTTAGCTGTGTGTTCTGAGCAAATGTTCATATTCCAGGCCCCATGTGGTGGTGGCAGTGGTCAAGGAAGATCATATCTGATAGAAGGGAGGACATATACCATAACACCCTTTAGGGCTCTTAGTTGATAAGGATTCAGTAGTGATGTGGAAATATAGAACTTGCAGTTTAAATTAATACTAATTGCCAGAAGAGATTGTCACTTCTATAGAAATCAGTCCTTCTGCAACTATAATCTCTAATTGCTATGCCTCACCCATGTGCTGCTCACTGACTCAGTAATTTGTTTACCTGCTTATCTCCTGCACAAGTCAGTTTTTACTGTCTGGGGTAAATCCATTTCCACAGTCTCTGCATTCTTAACATGGTATCATTTGTACAATAAACTCAATAAATATTAACAAATACTTGGTTGCTCAGTTATCAGCCCTGCACCTTTATAGGAGACTCATAATTAATTTAACAGACATAGTATGCGCAGTGCATGTGTTTGCAGGCATTTGGCAAGCTCAGAACTAAACAAAATTGTGAGACAAGCAAGTAGGCTAAGAAGAAAGGAAGAAAGCAAGGAAGGAAGGAGAAAGGAAGGAAGGTAGGAGGTATGGAATAAAGGAAGGTAGGAAGGAAGGAGGGATGGAGGGTGAGAGGGATAGAAGGAGGGAGAAAGGAAAGAAGAGGAGGGAGGAAGGAAAAAAGAAACAGAAAAGAAGGGGGAGGAGGAAGTAAGAGAACAAAGGAAGGTAGGAAAGGAAGGAAGGAAGGAAGGAGAGAAGGAAGGAGAATGGGGTAGATAGAAGGAGGGAGGGAGTGAAGGAAGGAAGAAATGAAGGAAAAGGAGGGAAGGAGAGAAGGAAGGAAGGAATAAAGAAAGGAGGGAAGGGGAAGGAGGGAGGGAGGAAAGGAAGAAAGGAAGGAAAAGGAGGGAAGGACAGAAGGAAGGAATAAAGAAAGGAGGAAGGGAGGAAGGAGAGGGGGAGGGAGGGAAGGAAGGAAGGAAGGAAGGAAATGAGGGAGAGAAGGGGAGAGGGAAGGGAGAGGAAGCACTTTTTGGTTACCTTTCTTCCTTGGTTAAGCGGGCCAGTTTTCGGGCTTTGTGAGCAAGGATAAATCTAAAACACACAAAAGAGAAAAGGGGGAGAAATTAATGTTTTCTTTTCATCCTGCTCTCATTTCTATAGCTACTCAGCTGCCCAGTGTACAATGTTAAAAATTAGCCAGAAGAAGTAATTTCTACATTAGCTTATTATTTTTTTGTCGGTTGTGGGAGCTGAACTATGGGCCTGGGCAGTGTCCCTCAGCTCTTCTGCTCAAGGCTAGCACTCTACCACTTGAGCCACAGCTCCACTTCCTGCTTTTTCTGCATATGTGGGGCTGAGGAATCAAACCCAGAGCCTCATGCATGCGAGGCAAGCAATCTACAACTAAACCATCTTCCCATCCTCCACTTTTACCATTTCCATGTTGCCCTCCTGACACTGAAGAACACCTCTGGCTTTGGGGACTCAGGGGACTGTTTACTATAGGCCTAGCTATGATTCCTGTTGTGATAACAACATGACTTAGTCTCTTGCCCTCATCAGGCTGGTAGCTGATATAAAGGAGCCCTGGGTCTCATGGCCAGGGAAGGCTGCATCTGAGCTCCCATTCCATTTGGTCCTTTCTCATTGGATCTGCCTTCTCTGGGCATCTCCTGAGCTTCCATCTTCTCATTTCTGATGATTTTCTAGCCCCATGATGTTTTTCAACTTCCTGTTGTTTTCTTGGTTTATTTTTTAATTTAAAAAATTGCCTGTAATGGATGGGGCTTGAACTCAGGGCCTTGGCACCATCCCTGAGCTTTTGTCACTCAAGGTTGGCACTTTACCACTTGAGACACACCTCTACTTCTAGATTTTTGCTGGTAAGTTGGAAATAAGTCTTACAGAATTTCCTGGGTAGGCTGGATTTGAACCAAGATCCTCAGATCTGTCTCCTAAGTAGCTAAGATTACAGATGTAAGCCCCTGGTGCCTAGCCTCTTGGTTTATTATGAGATAAACACACACATGTCCTAGTGATCATCTTAGTTTTAGCTTCTCCAGCATCTTTTGGGGTCAGTACTGGCCCTCAAGACATCCTCCATCTGTTCAGTTCTTTCCTGCCAAGGTGTGGATAAAGCTGGACTTGGTTTCTTCCTGTGAATCTTAGAAAATATCAGTATTGCACATAAATCATTCTTTCTATGATTTGGAATATTTATCCCTACTAAAACTCATGATGCAATTCAATTCCCAATGGTGGTATTGAGAGGTGGGGGGACCTTTAAGAGACATATAGGGTTTGGAGGGATCTGTCCATGTGGAAGGATTAATATACTTAAAGCAACTGTGGAGTGGCTCTTGCTAGTATGGGTTGTTACAGAGCTGGTTTGGCTTCCTCTAGTTGCTCTCTTTTGTCCTCTCTTGCACATGATCACTTCTATTTTTCCACTATGCATGAAACAGCATGAGGCCCTGACCAGAAGCCAAGAAGATACTGGCATCATGAACTTAGACTTACAAAATTGTGAGCTACAATTAACCTCTTTTCTTTATTAGTCTCAGGTACTATATTACAGCAACACAAAAAGACTAAGACAACACTGATAGCCACATTACCTCTACAAGAAACTCTCTTAGGAAAACAACCTAAGAAAGTTCTTAGTATTGTGTTTCACCAAAGGAGGGTTCATCAAAATATACCTGCCCTAGAAATAAATATCAAGAAAAAACTGAAACAATTTTTTTTAATTTTAGGGAATTCTACTTGTTCTCTAGATAAAGACATTGAGAAAAAGAAGCAATAAGAATGTTTCTTTGCTGTGATAAATATAGTTGTGCTGGTAGTTTTAGTATGGTCTTGTTTGTGATCATTCGGGTAAATGCCCAAAAGTGGGATTGCTAGGGCATAGGGAAGCTCTATGTGGAGTATTTTGAGGAACCTCTATGCTACTTTCCAAAGTGGTTGAACAAGTTTACACTCCCACCAACAAAGCAGTGGGGTTCCCTTCTGTCCACATCCCCTCCAGCATCTGTTGTTATTAGAGTTCTAGATTCTAGCCATTCTAACTGCGGTGAGGTGGGATCTCAATGTTGTTTGGATTTGCATTTCTTTTATGGCTAGAGAGGTTGAGCATTTCTTCATGTGTCTGTTGGCTACTCTTATTTCCTCTTCAGAGAAGTTTCTCTTTAAATCTTTAGCCCACTTATTTATTGGGCAGTAGTTTCTTTGAGGATTTGTTGTTGGGGGATTTATTATTTACCATACCTAAGATATGGAACCAACCCAGATGCCCCTCAGTAGATGAATGGATCAAGAAAATGTGGTACATATATACAATGGAATTCTATGCCTCCATCAGAAAGAATGGCATTGCCCGATTTGTTAGGAAATGGAAAGACTTGAACAAAATTCTATTAAGTGAAGTAAGCCAGGCCCAAAGAAACATAAGTCCCATGGTTTCCCTTATTTGCAATAACTAGTATATGTCTAGGACAAGCAGAAAAGGTCAGATAAGATGATGTTAAGTCAAGTGATTTTTTCTTTCTTGCTATTGTTTCTAACATATTTATAAGGTACCATGTGATTTTTTTTGTTGCTTTGTATGTCCCTCCCCTATTGTATAACCCTTATTTTCACTGTATTTGATGTTTGCATAATTTGGGGAAGGGAGGGGAAAATTATTTAAATAGGGATACAGGTTGGTCCATTGCAACAATGAGATGTACAAGATGCTATGTCAAAAAACGAACTTTACAATTTAGGCGGGGGGCAGGGAGGAGTGTAGTCGAGGAGGTGGGAGGGATTGGATGGTAGGAGAAAAACAAAGGAGGAGGCAACAATGCTTGATAAGAAATGTACTCATTAGCAGAAGGGTTTGAGAAGTATTCCCTTCTAATGTTCTGAATCTTGTTTGTTTCTTTGGTGATGTTTCCATTCTCAGCTCTGAGTTTATTTATTTGGGTGGGTTCTCTTCTTTTTCTGGTAAGATTTGCTAAGGATCTGTCAATTTTGTTAATTTTTTTGAAGAACCAACTCTTTGTTTTGTTGATTCTTTCTATGGTTCTTTTTTTGTGTGAGGGAGTCCGGTCATGGGCTTGAACTCTGGGCCTGGGCGCTATCCCTCAGCTCTTCAGCTCAAGGCTAGCACTCTACCACTTGAGCCACAGCACCACTTCCGGCTTTTTTCTTTTTGCTTATGTCGGGCTGAGGAATCTAACCCAGGGCCTCGCATGCAAGGCAAGCGCTCTACCACTGAGCCACCTTCCCAGCCTCTATGGTTCTTTTGAATTCTAATTAGTTTAATTCTGATTTCATTTTAATTATTTCTTTCTGTCTACTGGATTGGGGTTTATCTTCCTGCTCTTTTTCAAGGAGATTCAGCCAGGCCCAAAGAAACATAGGTCCCATGGTTTCACTCATTTGCAACAACTAGTATACATCTGAGACAAGCAGAAATGGTCAGACAAGTTGATGTTAAGTGAAATGAACCCCAAGATAAGGACTCAAATGGCTTTTCTTTTTTGCTATTGTTTCTAACATATTTATAAGGTGATTTCTTTGTTGTTTTATATGTCCCTCCCCCACGGTATAACCCCTACTTTCACTGTATTTGATGTTGGTATAATTTGTGGAGGGGAAGGTTATAAACAAATTGTTTAAATAGGGATACAGGTGGACCCATTGCAACAATGAGATGTACAAGATGTTATGTTGAAAAACGAACTTTACAACTTTGGTGCAGGAGGGGGGTGTGGCAGGGGGATGGGAGGGAGTGGTAAGGGATGGTAAGGGGAAACAAAGGAGGAGGCAATAATGCTTGATAAGAAATGTACTTATTACCTTGCTTATGTAATTGTAACTCCTCTGAATGGTATTTTCTCAATCAAATAAAAAGGTTTCTTTGGCTGGATCTGGAAAGGACTATCACTGAATAAATTTATTTCACAAAGTTTGGGATGAAGTTACCAATGTTTCAGTATCTTGCCAACCATGAATACAGTCATTACGTCTTACCCCATTATAGCAGCACAGCTTCCATCAGGTTTGGTATCATCCAGGGTGTAGGCAATTGGTGCATCCTCTCCTTCGATGACCATGGTTCCACAGAAATCTTGGAGAAGGTTAAAATGGAGAAGTTTGTTTATCATCCTATCCCACTATCCTTGCAATGAAGCACTGTTTTCAATTGGAGAATCTCAAAGATTAATATAGAATGCCATCAAATATTATATTCTAAACTTATGATAGCAAACCAAAGGGATATTAAGAAGATTGATTAGCCAATGTTTGTGGGGGGTGTGAGGGGGGAATCAAACCACATGAGCCCTTCTTTACCAGTTATAGGACCATGTGATACTGTCAATTTCAGTTAATGAAATCTATTTTTCCTTGCTGTTAATACTTGTATCCCATATTTCTTTATTCACAAGAAATCAGAATAAAAGAGATAATGTAACCTGGGCTTTGGTGGCTCAGGCTTGTAATTCTAGCTACTCAGGAGGTTGAGATCCAGATGATGGAAGTTCAAAGACAGCATGGGCAAAAAAGTCTGAGATTCCATTTCTAACTAATCAGCAAAAACTCAGGCTGGAAGCTTGAGTACCAACTGCAAGTGAAAAAGCCAAGTAATAGGCCCTGAATTTAAGCCTTAAATAATTTAAGCCTTAAGTAAGAGCATGATAAGTAAATAAGTAAACAACAAAATAATGTTCAGTGGGAATACTCATCCATTCTGCAAAATATAAAGTACTAGATGTTTGTGTTTTATGAAAATCCAGTTATACTGTTTAAATAAATTTTACAAACAGGATCTCAATATGTTGTCCCAAACTCCTGGCTGAAGTGACCTTGCTTCAACTTCCCCATAGCTGAGAGTACAAATGTACACTAATTACACCTGACTCTTGTTTTATTTAAAATATTTTTGACTGTCTGAAAATAGGGCAGAAAGAACATGGATAACCAAAATCCATAGAGTCTCAAACCCACAACTCAAACATGATCTCTTAAGAATATTTCCTCTCAAGAATAATTAGGATGCATTTGGGGCATTTACCCAAATGATCACAAACAAGACCATACTAAAGCTTCCAGCACAACTATGTTTATTGCAGCATTATTTACTATAGCTAAGATATGGAGCCAACCCAGATGCCCCTCAGTAGATGAATGGATCAAGAAAATCTGGTATATATACAGAATGGAATTCTATGCCTCCATCAGAAAGAATGATATTGCCCCATTTGTTAGGAAATGGAAAGACTTGGAAAAAATTACATTAAGTGAAGTAAGCCAGGCCCAAAGAAACATAGGTCCCATGGTTGCCCTCATTTGCAAAAACTAGTATATGTCTGAGACAAGCAGAAAAGGTCAAATAAGTTGATATTAGGTGAAATGAACCCCAAGATAGGGACTCACACATTTTTTTCTTTCTCGCTATTGTTTCTAACATATTTATAAGATGATTTCTTTGTTGCTTTGTATGCCCCTACCCCACGGTATAACCCCTGTTTTCACTGTATTTGATGTTGGTATAATTTGTGGAGGGGAAGGAAAAAACAAATTGTTTAAATAGGGATATAGGTGGACCCATTGCAACAATGAAATGTACAAGACATTATGTTGAAAAATGAACTTTACAACTTTGGTACAGGGGGGGCAGGGGGGAAGAAGAAGGGAGTGGGGGTGGGGGTGGGGAGATGGGAAGGGATGGTAAGGGGAAACAAAGGAGGAGGCAACAATGCTTGATAAGAAATGTACTCATTATCTTGCCCATGTAACTGTAACCTCTCTGTACGGTATTTTCACAATAAAAAAAGGATAGCAACAAAGAAAAAAAGAATAATTAGGATGCAGATAAAAGGAGAGGAAAGGTGAGCAAAAGCAATCATAATAGTCAGTGTACATATATGAAAGTGGAATGAAGTAACTTAATGGGATGGGTAGGCTTGGGGCAGATGGAGGGAAAATGATAAAAGGGGTGACATGGCTCAGGATGCACTATATTCACAAATTGATAGGCTGAATTGAATCCCTTTTGTATAACGACTTAAATATAAAAAATTAAGGACTGAGAAATTGGCTTAGTGGTAGAGTGCTTCCTCACATGCATGAAGCCCTGGGTTTGATTCCTCAGCACCACATAAGCAGGGGGGAAAAAGCCAGAAGTGGCACTGTGGTTCAAGTGGTAGAGTGCTAGCCTTGAGCTGAAGAGCTGAGGGACAGCGCCCAGGCCCAGAGTTCAGGCCCACAACCAGACCCAAAAAACAAAAAGTGCTTTCCCCTTCCCTCTCTTGAAGAAAATGCAGTTGTCCCCAACATCTGCAAGTTCTGCACGTGTAGATTCAAAACAACTGTGAGTTGAAAATACTTGTCAAGAGGAAGACTGAGATTAAGACACATAAATGGTGGACCAAATGGTGAACAAATGCAGCAATGATACTCACTAGACACTATGTTGAAAATGAACTCTACAACTTGTGGGGAAGGAGGAGTCTGGAGGGAACAACTGGGAGAAAACAAGGGAGGGAATGACACTGTTCAAAAAGAAATGTCATCATTACTCGACTTATGTAACTGTAACTCCTCTGTACATCACTTTTATAATATTTTTTTAGAAAGAGAAAGATTGAATACCCAATGTTTGTGAAGGACATGTGTTCCAAACATGTCCAGCCCATTTGCTAGTTGTGGTTCCTTAAAGAGCACAGGAACAGCTATTGCCACAGCATTGACAGTGCATTAGCAGATATTCTGTCATCTAGAAATGATCTAAAGTGTATGAGGTGATGTAGATAGGATTTATGCAAATGCTATACTATTTTATCTAAGGCACTTGAGCATCCAGGTTATTTGTTTTCCATGGGGGTCCTGGAACCAATTCAACACCTCCATGGCTATGGGGGGGGCGTGCTTTTATCTGTGATTTCACCAAGACTGTAACAGAGAAAGGGTTGAAAATGTCAAGCTAGAATGTAAAATGCTCTAATAATATCCTGCTGCAGTACACACCTCCTTTTGTTCCACTTTTACTTGCAAATGTAAGGTTGTTTAAACAAAATTGTGGTGGAAGATTCTGGAACAAATGTTATGGAGCAAAGCTAATAAGATGATCTCAAAATTGGAAAAACTTTGGAGGCACACAGCTCCCCATCTTTTGTGTGTACTTGTGTATGAGCAGACACATCAGAGGCTTAAATCACCCATATGGCTTCTCCCATATCCCTCCTCAGCATGCTCCTGAAAGAATCAATGCCCCAGCCACCTACTCACCACAGAGACACTTGCATGCCTCTCAGGTGAGAAGAGACTAAAGAAGAAATGTGTCATGTCTGTTAAACAAAGAAGCAAACAACAAACGAACAACATATAGAACCTATGCCAGGCACTGGTGGTTCACACCTGTGATCCTAGCTACTCAAAAGGCTGAGATTTGAGGATCCTGGTTCAAAGGTAGCTAGGACAGGAAAGTCCATGACACTCTTATCTCCAATTAACTACTAAAAAGCTGGAAGTGGAACTGTGGCTCAATGGTAGAGCCATTAGTCTTAAGCAAAAATGCTCAGGGATAATGCCCAGGCCCTTAGTTCAAGTTCTAGCTAACACTGGCAGAAAAACAAGGTCAGGAATCACTTATTCTAAGCAGACGAGGAAAAGAAGAGACCAACAGGACAAGGGGAGAAGGGTGGGCTCATGCTGATTATGGAAGGCTCCATTGGCAGGATATGGAATGAGCCTCAGATGCCAGGTGGGCAGGGTGGAGGTACCATTTTCCGATAGAGGCCCCCTAGAGACGCTTCTTTCCCAGAGCAATGGTGGTCTCAGCCATGTAGATGCACTTGGAGAAACAGATTTAAAAAATGCCATAGCCAAGTCAGATGGGACCTTGCATCATTCTTGGAATTTCTATTGTGTCACTTAAGAGGTAAAGGCAAAGATAAAAGTAGATACAAGCAAGCAACCAGAAGGAACAAAAAAGACAATGATCATCAAGTAGGGAAACCTCCCAATAAGCACTAAGGAACATCATGTGAGAGAACAGAAAAGATATTGTAGCTGTGGAAATTGATGAAGAGGGAGATTCAGAATAAAAGAATTTAACAGGAGCTTTCTATGCGTAGTGTGTGGAAGAACAGTTGAGGGTAACTAAAGACAAAATAAGTAAAATATGAGAAATTGTCCCACCAAATATGAAAATATACAATATAGCTGTAATGACTAAAATAGTGTATAACTGCATAATATAAATCTATAGCTGGGCAGCGGTGGCTGTAATTGAGCTACACAGGAGGCTGAGATCTGAGGATTGTTGTTTGAAACTAGCCTAGGCAGGAAAGTCTATGAGATACTCATCTCCAATAAACTACCAAAAAGCCAAAAAATGGAGGTGTGGCTCAAGTGGTAGAGCCCTAGCCTTAAGAAAAAAAAGAAGCAGCTCAGGAAAAATAACAAAGCCTGGAGTTCAAGCCCCAGAATCAGCATGGCAAAAAATAATGCCTTTACAGCAGGGTGTGTACACCAAAATTGTATGTTCAAACAACAGGAAAAATGATAGAAATTTTTAGATTTTAATTTCAGCTTTTCAAAAAATCTGTTTGGCATGGTGGCTCATGCTATCTCAGGAGCCTGTGATTGGGAAGATTGCAGTTCAAGGCCAACCTGAGAAAAAGTTCATGATACCCCTTCTCAACCAATAGCTGGGTATAGTGGCATGCACCTGTTATCACAACTATGAGAAGCTGAGATCAGAAGGATCATAGTGCCAGGCCAGCCCAGGTAAAAATATTCACTATATTTCATCTATTTTCATGTGGATGTGCCAGTAGTAAGGCTTGAAACTTGGTCCTCAAGCTCATGCTCAGCTTTTTTCACTCACTATCTCTTGAGCCATGCCTCTACCTCCAGCTTTTTGATGGTTAATTGGAGATACGGGTCTCATGAATTTGTTTGCCAAGGCTGGTTTCAAACCTCAGGCCTCAGATCTCAGTCTCCCGAATACCTAGGATTATAGGAATGTACCATCAATGCCCAGCTACTATACTCTTATCTTGATGGGAGAAGCTGTTTGGTGGTGTGCATCTGTCATTGCTGGGTCAATATTCAGGCATATGGCTGGGCAAAAAGTGAGATCCAATCTCAAAGTAACCAGAATAAAGTGCTGGAAGCATAGTTCAACAATAGAGTACCTGTCTAACAAGCATGGAAGTCTAAATTCAAACTCCAGTACTGTCAAAATAAAAGTCTGCTTTGTATGTTTTATAGTTATAAAAATACATTTTTTCAGAAGTATGAAGAACAGAATGAAAAATCCTATGTATATATGCATATATACATATACATGTAAATATGTATATATGTGTACATATATACATATACATATGTATATATACACATATATGTATGTATATATATATATATATATATGATAATTTAGTTGGAAGAGAAAAACAGCTGAAACATATACAGATTCTTTTGGCAGTGCTGAGGCTTGAACTCAGAGCCTGACACTTGCTAGCCAGGCACTTTATCCCTTGAGCCACATCCTCCTATAACCTGTGCTATCGGATGTTGCTTCTATTAGCCCCACTCAGCCACCTACATTTACATTTAAAGCAGTTAACATGAAATGAAGTGAAAAAAAAATCGGTCCCTTGGTGTCACTAGCTGTATTGCAAATGTTCAGTAGACACATGTAGCCAGAGTTCAGTAGACACATGTAGCCAGAGACTAAAGTATTAAGCAGAAGTGATCTTCAACATCACTGCAGAATCCAGTACTTCTAGTGGGTATTCATTCCTGTGTGCTCACTGACCTGGAATAGTAGGACACCTGATGACTATATATGGATAAAGAAATGAATCTTATTTAGCATAGTAGAATTCTGACACTAACAGGAGGCACTCTAGAAATTCCCAGAATCATCATTGTGTGTTTGTGTGTGTGCATGTGTGTGTGTGCACATTTGGCAAGTATACGATCACTGAACCACACCTCCAACCTAAATCCTCATCTTTGTAAATGGCTTTAAGTAATGCATGCTTTTGAAACAAGTATTTGAAAATGTAATCACCTATTCTCACAGGATTTGGTGAGAGGATTAAATAAGCTTTCTAGTGAATTATTAAAAATAATAGTTGGGCATATTCCAAGGTAAGTTAATTCTGTGCTTTGAACAGTCTTGTTCTTGCTAAGCAGTTGCTCTACCACTGATCCAAGCTCTCAGCTCTTTTTCTTTTAGTTTGTTTTCAGGGAGGATATTGTACTTTTGTGCAGGTTGACCTCCTACCGTCACTGTCTTTGGAGCTAAGATTATAGATGTATATCACTATACCTAGCCTCTAATATACTTGATTTGTTAGAAATATAGTTAAAACCTAGACCAAACATTTTATATCCAGAATTCTAAATAGAAATAGCTCCAAACGAATAGACGTTTGGACCTTCTTTTGACAGTCTTTGTATCAGAAAACTACTTACCTTTTTTCTTCCAGAAGGGATCTTTATAATAAACCATGCATTTGATGACAGAACCCAAAGGCACCCGAGTGATCAGCTGATTTCTCATCATTGGCAGAGGAGGATTGAAGTGGATCTTCATGCCCAGAATGGGAGGAATAGCACTAATTACATAGTTAGCCTGAAAGAAAAGCAGTGTGGTTGAAAGTCATTGGTCTGCTGTTTTACTTTTTCCTAATGATTCTCTTTCTCTCTCTGGAAAGCAGCATGGGGGTTCCTCAAAAAACTAAACACAGAACTCCCCTAGGATGCACCAATCCCACACCTGGGCATTTACCCAAATCACAACAAACCAGCCTGTACTAATGCCACCAGCACAACCATGTTCATCACAGCATTATTTAACATAGATAAAATATGGAATCAACCCAGATGTCTCTCAGAAGAGGAATGGATCAAGAAAATGTCATACATATCCACAATGGAATTCTATACTTCCATCAGAAAGAATGACATTGACCCATTTCTGAGGAAATGGACAGACCTGGAAAAAATTGTATTAAGTGATGTAAAGCCAGACCCAAAGAAATATAGGCTGCATGTTTTCCCTCATTTGTAATAACTAAACCATGTCTATAAACCTACAAATTAATCCAATGGATAGCAAAAGACAAATAATTAAACTGGGACATGATTAATAAAACATAACTCTAAGCATCACACAGGAAGAACAAAGGAGGATATTCTTAGGAGAGGATCACAATGGCTCCATAGCTATGTGCATATGACCATATAAAATGATGCTTATTGAAATGAACTCCAAGAAATGGAAACAAGAGGTTTTTTCATTGTATTGTTTGCAGTTATCTTGTTTTTCTTTCTTTTTTTTCCTTTGGTTTATTTCCTGTTGCCACTATTTTTTTATTTCTGTGCCCTTTGTCTTGTATGTAAGATTATCTGATTTGGGGAAGGGAAGGGGAATCACAGAAATGGTGGTACAAAGGGTAAACCAGTGCAACAGTGAAATGCACTAGACATTATATTGGAAGTGAACTTACAACTTGAGGGGGAAGGTACACAGGGGAGGGGAAATGAGAGAAAATGAGGGAGGGGTAACACTGTGCAAAAAGAAATGTACTTATTGCCTTTGTTTATGTAACTGTAACCCCTCTGTAAATCACCTTTACAATAAAATTTAAATTACAAAAGCCAGGAGGATCCCATTAAAACCTAAAGAAACCTTATTGTTTGTTTCCTAGTTTAAAACCTCCATTAACATCCCATCATGCTTGAAGTCAAAGCCAAATTCCTCAAAAAGTCATACATGTTATAGACTTCAGTTACCTCTGATTCTAACTCCTCTTTCTTTTCCTCACACTGAGTATTTGATTATGGCCTCTCTCCTGTAATGGAGGACAGAGAGTGGCATCTTTTTGTTTGTTTGTTTGTTTTTTTCCACTGCTATTTATCCAACCCTTAGAATAATTCCAGATATGTGGGAGGTGCTTGACATTTCTCAAATACGTATTTCCTTTAGGTTTTTAACTATATAAGAAGAGCCTAATATATTATGGTAATTGACCTTCTCCCAAGTATCCTCAGACTTTTTTTCTTTCTTTCAGACACAGGTAACTTTGGCAAAGATCTATAAGTTCTGGAATATTCTTGTCTGTACATAAGCTTTGGTTACCTATGGGAGTCTGGTTTCTTCCTCCAGTTTAAGGGTATTGCTTACCTCATACACTTCATGGTTTAGAGTCTCCACAATGACTTTCTCTCCTGTCTGGTCAATGCGGATCACTGGTCTTTCTAGCTTCACTCGGTCCCCAAGGAGGTCCATTATTCGCTCACTTACTTGACCAGATCCACCCACAAATTTCCTCTCCTGTAAATAAAACAAGGATTCAGAGGTGGATGGGGAATACACAGATGGTCATTAGTCACCCATTCCTATATTATATATCTCAGAGAAAAGATAAGCCATTTTACTGTTGGGTCTCTTATCTTTCAGCAGTCTTCTAGTGACAAAATTAATAGGTTTTCTGAGTTAGGGAAGGGGAACAACAAAATGGTGAGCCAAAGGACAAAGGGCGAACCAATGCAACTGTAATACTCACAAGACATTATGTTATAAATGAACTATACAACTTGGTGAAGGAGAATGGGGTAGGGGAGGAAAAGTACCAGAAAAATGAGGGATGAGGTAACAAGTTCAACAACAAATGTACTCACTACAATACATATGTAACTGTAACCCCTCTGTATATCACCTTGACAATAAAATTAAAATTTTAAAAATTAGTAGGTTTTCTAAGTCATCTTTACAATGAGATTCTTGCAGGTTCCAAGGCTCCAACCTCTGCTGGACATCCTCAGAATGACCTTATCCCTCACCTAGATTGTTATCACCCTGCTCTGAGTTCTATTCTTTCATTAAGATGCTAGCCTGGGGACACACTATCTGGAGTTGGAGCTTGGCCATCACTTGGCTGAGCAAACCTAAAGCTTGCCAGATGACTCCAGCTCAGAATCACCTTGCCTCAGTGCCACATCTTGCCCCAGGGTAGCCTCATCTCTACTGCAGGCTGCTCAGCATACACTGCTGTTCTAATGACTGAGGTCATTTCATCTTGGTGTAACCACATACTCCCAAAGCTTCCAAATGTTCTACCTGGCTATGTTCACCTTTGAACTGACTGCCTCCTTCCCCTTGATTTCCAGATCCATTAATTTAAAAGACTATTTAAAATATTATTTCAAATAGGTTTGGGGTAAAGAAGAAAAGGAAGAGGTAGAGGTAGAGGAAGAGGAAGAAAAGGAAGAGGAAGAAGAAGGAGAGAAAGGAGAAGAAGAAGAAGAAGAAGAAGAAGAAGAAGAAGAAGAAGAAGAAGAAGAAGAAGAAGAAGAAGAAGAAG